TCTCAGGGCTCAGAGACTCTACGAACGCACCAAATGACAACATTTGGTCTGGAGATTGATGTAACTGTTGATTATTCGTACAAAAGGGGTCAATGGCCTTCGGGACCATAGGGAAATGAAGAAGCCTGCTGTGACATGTCTAGATGGTACCAAGGACTATTTTTTTGAGACATGTCTTAGCAGATTGGAACACTTTTTTGAAAAATGTATAGAGACGAAGACAAGATTTGAACTTTTCTTCTCGAATAATTTTTGATCGTTATCTTCAGAAGGTGTCCGCCTCTGTCCGGTGCTACTCGGTACAGTACCGCGCGGTATTCGAAATACGGGTCAGGCAAAAAAAAGCATTGGCATATTTATCTTAACAAAAACTGATATGAAAAATAAATTATAAAAATTATCGGTTTATAAAAATAACCAATCAGCGATAATTTTTGAAAAATTTGAAAATTTAAATTTTGAATTATTCAAAATTTGAAGTATCAGTTGTAATTATTCTCGTTTTTTTTGAGAAATAAAAGTGTGAGAGTGAATAAAACTATTAAAACTTTTCTTTAAGGAGCAAGAGCAAACTACCGTATTCTTCGAGCCTATTTTTAAAATTGTTTCATTTTTTGTTGTAAATCATATTGAAATGAGAAAAAACATAGAAAAAAACAATCAAATTGAGAAAATGATATTCAAATTAGGCTCAAGTAGTATAGTAGTTCGCTCTCATGCCTCCGAGAAAAAAAATAACCGCTCCCAACAATTTCATAAAGCTGAAACAAAAAACTCTAGGCATGAAGGTATACTGTAGCGACAATTTTCGAAAATGTATGATTTTACATATTGGCATTATTATTCCGAATATTGTAAAGTTAAAAGTTTGAAGAGTAAATTGATATTATAACAAATTATTCTGAAACAGACATCTTTTGACATAAAAGGGTACGGTAGCTGGACGATAGCCGTCAAAACTGGAAAATAGACAGATACTAAATGTTTTACGAAAGTCTAATGGATTCTCAGATGATCCAAAACAACGCTAATACGTTCTCATTTCATTCTTTAGATTTTAGATATCTGACGGATTGGGAAGAATGAACGAAATGGAAACTCGAGACCGTCAGAAAAACAAAATGAAACCGCCAGGAGATGAATTGGAGGGGAGGGGGATAATTTCATGAAAGTACAAAATGAGAAAGTTGAACTGTAGGTCGGTAGGTCATCTCATTCCGAAACACACACAACAATCGAGATGATGGTAAGCCGGAATGGATGCGAAGCGCGCGCCGCGTTTTCCGCCGGCCGATTCGCGCGGATATTGGCGCAAAAGCAAAATTGGGTGAAAGATGCATGGGAGGGGGAGGGCGAAACGAAATTTTGTGGGTCAGACCTTGAAATTCGTGAAAGCGCGTACATTCAATCGGGCCTATTGCCGGTCAAACGAGAGTGACAGTACGTGTGTGGGGGGCATTTCGCTTCTATTGCTTCTCACCGGGGGCGCCTCGTACATCCACACATTCGGGATGGATTCCCTTTCACTCGAAAATCTCATAAGTTCGCTTTTCCAAAGAGTGCACCACATAAAAATGAGGAACGAACGAAAAGCGGGAATAAATATAATGTGATGAGAGTTGGTAAAAGCAGTTTCTAACTTGAATTCAAAGAATTCAAATGGGAGAACGAGGGCACGCCTTCCAAGTTGTACACATGAGTGATTACAAAACCCATGTATATGTGGTCACTAATCAGGTGGTGGAGCTTTCTCATGAAAGCTCGCGAAGGGCAGCCTAATCTTATCCCCCTTTCTTGGTGGCTAAATGGAAACGAACAGAATTGAAAAGGTGAACCCTCCTGAAGCTGGAGTCGTACTACTAGTATTATGCTCCGTAGTATTTAGTGTTGAAAAGAAAGTGGAATGAGAATGAGGAATGCGGGATAAAATAAGAATGGATAGAAAATGACATGAGCTCCCAGGCATAAAAGGGCAGACAGCGGATCTTATTCCCGTACGGAGGAGATACGGAGATGTCAGAAGAAGCCAATAGGAAACCGGGTAATGATATGTTTGATTTATTTTACGAGCACCTCATCCACTGGTGGCAACGAGGCTTCAGAGAATAGAAAAAAGCTTCAAAAATAGAAAAAAAGAAGAAAGCGCAGATTTTTTTTTGAATTGAGGGGGACCGTCGAGATTTACGACTTATACCTTTGAAGAGATTTGTAAAGCACAAATACGAATATTCATACGGTTTTTTGAACATTTTGCTCAAGAAAAATATTTTCTTTTGGAAAATCAATTGAAAAAGCTTAAAAATTTGAAGGAAATATTTTTCTGGAAAATCCTTGCTGTTCGTTTCAAAAACGTTTCAGAATCGGAATATTTCGATATTCCGATAATTTTTAAATAGGAATATTCCAAAATTTTGAAAATCGGAATGTTTGACATCCCGAAATTTGAAAATTTTGAAAATCGAAATATTCCAAACTTCCGAAATACCAAAATTTTGAAAATCGAATTATTCGAGATTAGGAAAAATTCCGAAAGGCCATTCCAAACATCCCTGATGGATAGAGCTCAAAAGTTTTAGTACAGTATCCAAAAGTGAGACATTTAAATTTTATAGTTTTTGAGAAAACACCCCAGGTTGCAAGTTGCCGCCAAGAACAAATCTGAAGAAAAAGATAAGGTGAAGAATGCTGGATCTACAAAAGAGCCATCGACATATGACATTCTGAAAACCAATATCTGATGCTGAAGCGAGATAAGAAAGAAAAAATCTGTACAAAGTTTTTTTTTCCAGAAAGAAATATTGCTTTATTCTAGATATTGAAAATCAGGACGATACCAAATGTACAAAAACATGATTGGAAAAGAACTGTCTATTGAAACACGATGCGACAGAAAAAAAAAAATAAAAACGGCCTTGTGATTGTTGTGTGTGAGTTTTGTTTCACACGACGACATGGTTTTTTCGCTCTTTCCTGACCAATACGAAAAAATCGAAATTCACTTTTTTTAATATTACTATTTCAACATTCATGATCCGTTTTTGAAAATTTGACTGATACCTTTTCCGAGAAAAGAAATCAAAATTTTCCGAAATTTTGACAAAGAGGTCATAAAGATAGATATTAACAGATGAAAGGGGGGGGGGGGGGGGGTGAAGACGTGGGAGGCAAAACAAAGATGAATCCGAAAAGGATGCAGCAATTCAGAACAGATGCATCCCGGAAAAGGAAAACGAAGGTCATCTCGATTTCTAACCTTCTTCTTTCACCAATCGTTTTGCAATCTGTCGATCCTTGTATTTGGGAGAATTTTCGAAAATTTGAATCTAGGGAAAGCAAGCTGAACAAATTGAAATTCTAAAGCTTGTAAGTAAGTCTGGCGAATAAATCTGGAGACCCCAAGAGAATGAAAAAGGACATTTTGAAAATAACGACATCATAAGAAGAAGAAGAAGAAGAAGTGGACAAAGATGAAGTGAAAGGAGTGTGAGAAAGTTATAAAACACGAGAATTGAAGAGGAAGTTGGTGAACTTACACTTTATTAATTTTAATTTGAAATTCTACGAAGAGAAGGAATACTTTTTGCACGAGAAAGGATGCGGAACGATGGAATACTTGAAAATCTGAGCCTCTGAGCTTCACTTTTTCAAAATCTTCAGAGCTAATCGTTAATCCAATAGATAAACAGTTGTTTGAGTGGGGGCGGAACCGTTGGCTGAGAGTGAAAGATGACAGTTTCGAAGGTGAGTCATATTTGATAAAGATAAGATGTTCCTGTTGTTTTTTTTAGTCTTAGGACAGGAACATCTGAAAAATGGAGATTGAGATTTGGAGATCATCTGGATTAACATATTTTTAACCTAAATTTGAAGGCGTTCGGAGACATGACCGTTTTGAAGAAAAATTGGAAAGAAAAAAAAACAGTTTAGGGATAATATTAAAGATGCAGGAAATGAAGAAATTAATTTTTTCGCGACAATTCGTTCATACAAGCCCTTCGAGGTGGTGAACTAGAGCCTTCGCTCCAATAGATATACCGTAACTCTAATAACCACCCGAAAATCCTTATGAATTCCCTCCCACTCAGCAAATCGATTAGAAAAAAGCAACCGTGTGCAAACGATCGTGGTCACCACGGGGCAAAAATGTGAGAAAAGTGAGAATTAAGCTTTTAATGTTTGGCAAATTTGGTTATTGGTACATTTAAAGGGATGTATTGCCTTTTTTCATATTTCACAGTAATAAATGTAGTACGAAACACTTCAATCAAATTCTAGAAAATGCTCATAAGATGAATCCGACCAAAAGTTTTTTTGTACATAAGACTGTGGGAAACAACATGTAGATTTATATAGCAACAAAGGAAAAAATTTAAAAAGTTGATGCATTTCGAATATTTAATGTTAACTTTTACAAATAAAATTTTGAAGAGAATATCAAAGTTTCCTTTTTTCCGATGTTCTGGTTCAAAATTGTTCCATTTTTTCACTTTAAAGTTCGAATTATTCATCAGTTTCTGACTTTTATAGTTTCATATGGTGAAAAAAACTTCCAAACACACATCCATAGATTATTTTCTAATTTTCCGACAGGTTTTATTTTTGTACTATGAATTTCAGGATTTTTGAGTATCTTTCACATCTCAAAATAATCTGAGGACACTGAAAAAAATTTAAAAATCTGACATCTGGAAATAAATAAAAATTTCAATATCTATTGAAATTCCAAAAATCAATGTTCCTTGCTGGACCTGTCATGTTACTGTACTTCTGACGTTTTTCTTAACTTATCAAACTAATTAAATTGGTTCCTATTTCCGTTTTCCATCTGAAAACAAATATCGGTTTCTGAACCTATGCTTATTTTTCTCCGTTTTCCGATCTCGTAACCTGCTCTTTGTTCTTTATTTTTTCTTCTCTTTGGTTTTTTCAGGTCATTCTATGTTTCCCGTTCCATTCTCATTCACTCAATTTGTCACTAAAGCAACCCGCCCGTTGTTTCTACCCATTTCATAATACACCTATTTATGGAAAAGGATTCTGAAGAATCAAGAGGTCTGAAAAGAAAGCGAATGAATGTAAGAGGAGGTTATCAATCAGGCTGGCCCCAGTCTCTCTCTCCGGAGCTCCCGTCTTTTGAGGTTTGATGACGCGAAAAATCGGGGGTCTCGGAGAGTCTTGTCTTGTCCTGCAGCTCTACCAATTCGTTTCATAGACTTTTTTCTTGTTAGATTTTTTCTACGACCAGAATCTATTTGCCTGTTGCTTGGAGCAAAGCAGAAGTTTCAAGATGAGCAGTATGGTGAGTTTTTCGTTTTGTTTTGTTTCCGTGTCTATTTTTCATAAACAGTGTTTGGAATCGAAATATTTTTTATGGGGAGCAAAACACTATTTGAGCAAATAATACTGCTAATTAGTTAATAATGCACGCTTTCCCTCTTTTTGGTTTTTATGAGCTTTGTGCTTCTTTATTTGAACACACTAATTATGAGAAAAGGAACTCTCTTTTGGGTCCCACTATGGTCAATTGTGTGAAAGAAGAAGTCTTTCGCAGGAAGACAATTGAGAGCTATTTTTGTTTTCTGTCGTTAGTGAAAGCTAGTTATTCATTCCATCGCATTCGTAAGTCAAGGGTATCTCAGAAAAAAAGCAGGAAGATACGGACCACATCCAATTATCTTAAATAGAAGCAGATATTATCTAAAATCGTGATTTGAAATTATTGAATGGGACCTCATGAGAAATAAAATCTCTGAAAATTAGATGTAGACAATCTACCGGAAAGAATATTTCCAAGTGTTT